GAGGGGGATCGCCGGGCGCGGGTCCTGAAGGCCAGAAGCCAAACTGTCCCCGTCGATGGGAGCGTTTTCCTCGCCTCGGGCAGGGGCGACCGCGAAGCGCCCCCCTCCTGCTGCCGCCGCCGCCGCCGCTCTCCCGCTCCCCGGCGCTACACCTGTGAAAACAGGTTGCTCGGAGGAACCTCGCCCTCCATCCGAGCCCTCCTCCGCCTGCCCGGGATCGCTCTTCTCGGCTCCCTTTTCTCCCGGAGCTTCAGCGCTGCCTTTTCCCTGCGTGCCGCGGTAAGTAGGCAGAAATGCTTCCCTCCCTCCCGCAGGATGCTTAGGAGGTTATTTGGACCCGAGCTCCAGGCTCGCCTAAGAAGATTGTCACACCGAGGCATGTTTTGAAATGCGAAAGCGTGTGCGATGGGCATGTAAAAGCTCGGTCGCCTCCGCTGCCTTTTCGCCTTCCCGCAGCAGAGTGGCTGCTCCCTGGTATTCCAAGAAGTCTTTCCCCCCCTTATCTGGGGTGTGTGTGCAAACTGCTGCCACGAATTTGCAGCGATGGGCTGGGATTTTGAGGAAGCGCCGGAGCATTCTTTTACCCGCGGAGTTTTTCGCAAGCCGGCAAACATGGAAGGCTGTATCTTCCTCTCGATATGGGAAGAGGCAGCGGCTTGTTAGGTTCTCAGGGTGGCATTTCTGCATATTATTCCATGTATTCCGCTGACAGCCATGGCGAATGCCTGCAAGGACTTCCTACCTCGATGCACAGCAATCCATGTTTCAGATCCAGCATAGCAAAAAGTCATCGTAGCTGTTTTGTTCACAAAAACGAAGCGGCGCTCAAGCCTCAGATGGCAACACAGATTTGCAGACACATGCCCTCTGTGTGAAATAGTGTGTGCAGGCACATATGGTAATATGCCACACCTGGGTATGTTATATTCACACTTATTCTGCCTTCATGCCAAGGCTATACACTAGTGTATGTTCACACGTATTATGTAATGTGGAGCCACCTGCACTTTGGGGTATAGATTTGCATGTACAGTCGTCTGCCAGGCGACAAAAGAACACTGGAGTGAGATGTGGGTGTGTATATGCTTGCACATTCATTTAACTCTTGCTATATATAGATAGATGCACACAGACACAGAAAGATTGCGTATGCCTTGTGGGTGGGTGTATGCTGAGTAGTGCAAGTCGGCAGCTCTGAGTCCTTTGATATGAAATACCTTAATCTGGATTATGAGCCATCCTTCCCCCTCTCCACTTTTTTTTTGGTTTGCATATATGTACCTCAGGTTAAGCAACTCTAGAGCGTGGGGATAACCAAAGGGTGTTCTCCTCTCCTCTCTCCAAGGGGAACATAGAGACAGCTTTTTCCACCATCTCCTCATTCTCCTTCTCTTCCCGCAATTGTCATTGCTGCTCGGGTGATGCATTGACCCAGCTTAGGACCTTGCTGATGGATGGGTGAAAGTGGGTGTGCTTAGACCTCCTCACTATGTAAACCAAGTGAAGACTGGAACCTCCTTCAATTTTCTAAAATTATTAATCAGCAGTCTCATTGCTAGGCAATTGTGAAGATACTAGCTGTTTTGCACTTGGTTGTTCTCAATAACTCAACCTGCTTTGATTGTCCTTCTTGCTTTGCTTAGCTTCACTCTTTGGTTGACTCAAAATATTCATAGAAAATCATGAACTCCTCTCTGTCGATTTTTCAGAAACCCCTGAAGAGCTATGGAGCCTCAAACATAAAAGGACATGCTCGAGAAATATTTCCTGACCATATCAGAAGACCCCTTATTGTACCTGTACAAGCTACCTTGAGCAATTGGTGTCAAACGTTGGAAACAGTAAGAAATGGAACTCTTGTCTTTGAGAAATGTGCAGCGTGAGAACACAAGGTGTGCTGACTTGATGGGATAGTGCTTCCAAGCAATGCGTTCCTTATGCTCACATGAAAGACTCTGTGATGATGACTGAGAACACAAACATCTCCTTCCCTTCTTGAGTTTTCTAAGCAAACAAATACAACATGGAGGTTGCCATGGTAAGTGCAGATAGCTCCGGCTGCAACAGCCACATGCCTTATGGGTATGCAGCCCAAGCAAGAGCCAGAGAAAGGGAGCGACTGGCCCAGTCGAGGGCGGCAGCAGCGGCGGCTGTAGCAGCCGCAACAGCAGCAGTAGAAACTGCAGGTTCTGGAGGAGGAGGAGGACCCCATCATCACTACCATCAGGAGCAGAGTCGTGGGGCATCTTCATCTTCCTGTGGGGAAAACACGTCACATAGTGGCTATCACCAGAATGGCAGGAGGAGAAAGGAACGGAAGAAGAAGGCTCACTGTCTCAGGAGCAGGGAGTTTGGTGCCTCTTTCCCTTGCTCTGAGTTGCTGCCTCTCAGTGGCTCAGAGGAGAAGATCCTAAAAGACTTGAGCGAGGAGGATGAGGAGGAAGACGATGAGGAAGCTGATGGTGAGGATGAAGAAGACGAGGAAAGGAAGGTCTACGATAGTGATACAGATGGTGAAGATGAGCCTTCATTTACAGACCAGCCTCCAGAGGATGGTATTGGACCTGGGGGCTACACCTCTGTCCGCTACAATGAGTATGAGTGCTGCGAACGGATTGTCATCAATGTGTCTGGCCTAAGATTTGAAACCCAGATGAAGACCTTAGCTCAGTTCCCTGAGACACTGCTAGGAGATCCAGCAAAACGGGGCAGATACTTTGACCCACTCCGGAACGAGTATTTCTTTGACAGGAACCGGCCCAGCTTTGATGCAATTTTATATTACTATCAATCTGGCGGGCGCCTGAAAAGGCCAGTCAATGTGCCCTTTGACATTTTCAGCGAGGAAGTGAAATTCTACGAACTTGGTGAGGAGGCCATGCTCAAGTTCCGAGAAGATGAAGGCTTTGTCAAGGAAGAAGACGACAAGGTGTTGCCTGAAAATGAATTCAAGAAACAAGTGTGGCTTCTCTTTGAGTACCCTGAGAGCTCCAGCCCAGCCCGAATCATTGCCATTGTCTCAGTTTTGGTCATTTTGATCTCCATTGTCATTTTCTGCCTGGAGACACTGCCGGAGTTCAGAGATGAAAAAGAGCTCATTCTGACCCAGAATTTGGAGAATGTTAATGAGACCCTCCTGCAAAGTGCAGGCTATACTGTCTTTAATGATCCCTTTTTCATTATTGAGACGGTCTGCATCATTTGGTTTTCTTTTGAATTTATAGTGCGCTTCTTTGCCTGTCCCAGCAAAGCAGCCTTCTTCAAAAACATCATGAACATCATCGACATTGTCTCCATTTTGCCTTACTTCATCACCTTGGGCACTGACTTGGCCCAGCAACAGGGCAGTAATGGTCAACAGGCCATGTCTTTTGCCATCCTGAGAATCATCCGTCTTGTCCGGGTGTTCCGGATCTTCAAGCTCTCCAGACACTCCAAGGGTTTGCAGATCCTGGGTCACACTCTCAGGGCCAGCATGAGGGAACTGGGGCTCCTAATCTTCTTCCTTTTTATTGGAGTCATTTTGTTTTCCAGTGCTGTTTACTTTGCAGAAGCTGATGAATCTGCCACCCATTTTCAAAGCATCCCAGATGCCTTCTGGTGGGCTGTTGTGACCATGACTACAGTTGGTTATGGGGACATGAAACCCATCACCGTGGGTGGGAAAATAGTCGGTTCCCTGTGTGCCATTGCTGGTGTGTTGACCATTGCTTTGCCAGTGCCCGTGATTGTTTCCAACTTTAACTACTTTTACCACAGAGAAACAGAGAACGAGGAGCAGACTCAGCTGACGCAGAATGCAGTCAGTTGTCCATACCTTCCAACCATCCTGAAGAAATTCCGAAGTTCTTCTTCTTCTTCTTCTTCCACAGAGGGCAAATCAGAATATTTGGAGATGGAGGAAGGGGTTAAAGAATCTCTCTGTGTGAAGGAGAAAAAGGGTCAGGTCACAGGGAATGGCAGTGAGGTGGCAAAACAAAACTGTGTAAATGCAAAATCTGTGGAAACGGATGTTTAAGTTCTGACAGTTTCCAAACTTATTTATGCATTAAAGAGTGCGTTGGTAAAAAAAAAATGAAATATGCAAACAGGAGTCTAAAGAAGCATACAGAAATATGCCATTTGCTGGTTACATATGAATTACAAAGCATTAGTAAACTCGTATTACATATCAAGTAAATGATATGCCTTGTGGAGGGGGGTTTATCTGAAATAGCTTCAAAATTTATATTTTTACTAGAATGCAGGTGTTTTGCACATGAGGGAGACAATTTTACTTTTAAGAAGGTGTGTTAACTATCTACCTTACTCACTGCCCACTGGTGAAAGTTAGCATTTTGAGGTATTTACTATGTAAGAAAAAATGAAGTCCAGTAGCCATGTATTCATTTGTTAATGCTTTAAAACAGCTACCATAATTCTGTGGATTCCATAGTCTTTTATTTCAAAATGCTAAGGATTATTGTGGGGAATTTTGTGCTATGGAAAGTCCAAATGTAATCTTAAAATGGTTAAATATTGATTTATCTTTGTGTTTTTTTAACTAACTACAAGTGGGTACTCAACTGTTGAAGATTATACAAAGCCCCCAGAAATGGTTTATTTTTGTAACAGTTTTTTGGAGACTTTGCAGCATTTATTAAGTAATACAGTACATGGAAGAACTGAAGTAAGAAAATCATTTAACATGGTCTGGATGCAGTGGAAAAGTGACTGGATTGCTTTTTTGCACTACTTTATATGCTGGAGATATTCTGACAGAGACTTCATACTGTGAATGTTTACTAATGTTCAATGACAATCATTGGAAGAGTGAATCCTGCATCTTTATTTTCATGTGTTTGCGTGATGCTGATTGGCTACGCAGCTAACTTTACATGAATTCCATAGTCTTTTAAATATTGATATCTGTTACCTGACAAAAGAAAAAAAGGATTATGAAGTAAAATTTTATAATCATGTCCCCTCCTAAATCAATCTTTTTCATACTGGGAAAAAAAAAAAGACAACATACGAGCTCACTTGCTTTGCTTGAAGAACAGAGATTTTATTCCTAAAAGAGGTGTGTAGGTGTGTGCATGGGTGTGCCTGCGTGCGTGCGTGCACATGCAGATGTGCTTGAATTGGAGTAGATTGTTGATGATGATCAAATATAGCAATAGCCATAGGTGATACAAAGTCATCAGAAAAGACTTCATAGGATAAGGCAAATAAGGTTATAGTGTTCTGTGTTTTGTTTCATGCCTAATTGAAAGAAGTCTATGAGTAATGTATGCACTTTGATAATGGTTAAAATTTTTTTGTGTACTGCAGTGAAAATGGAATAGAGATGCATTGTTAAACGGGTATGGTGATTGAGCTTAGTAATTTTTAACTAGAAAATGTGCTGTTCTTGGTTCAGGATTCCTTTCCACCCACCGCCTTTAATTGAAGTGTGCATTATTTGGTGTGTGTAGAAACAGCATTTAAGACTGAAAAATGTATGTTTGTAGTAGAGATGGATAAAATACAGGCTTTGTAGGGGTGGGGAGCAAAATACGTATTTATCCATTGTGACGTTTGGGACAATGCTACAAGGTTGTCAAATCCAAATTTCTCTTCATGAACTGTGGAAGGTATGGCAGTTGGCTGTAGGAATTCAGTGGCTCCACAGTGAGAGCCATTTTGCATTCCGGAACTGGAGGTGTTCCTAAATATTATACATGCTTGTCTAGGCAAAGAAGGGGACCAGTGCTGAATCTAGAATTAGTGGTACAGCAATACCAGTTTAGTAGAAGTTCTACGGCATTCTGAGCCTTGTGTGTTTGGTGTTGTATGTATAAAGGAATGGAGGTATGGGCTTGGAATTTCTACAGGCAAATCCCATTTACAAATCATGTGGGAACTGCTGCAATAGCATATATGATCTGGATGGGGGAAAATGCTTGAAAACTCTTGAACTGAAATGAAAATAAAATTTATTTGGAGTGGGGTAGGATCAGATTGCTCAAGCTGTACTGTGAATGTTCAATCACACCTTCTCACAGAAGCTACAGTGTTTTGTTTTGGCTGATATTTATTAATAATAATAATAATTAAGGCTGAAATACTGTGTTGACTGATCTAATTAATTCATTATTTGGAATATCATGTGTTTACTGTGGATGGTTGGTACCATCTTAGTCTGCTGAAGAACAAGGAATGATGTGGCACCCTAAAAACAAACTGATGTTACTTGGCATAAACCTCTGTGGCCTGTAGCCAACCTCTTCAGAGGCACAGAGTGTAACTTCAGTAGATAGATGCTTATAAAGCAACAGGGAGAGAAGTGGTATGGAATATAATGGAAATGCAAGATAGTAGTAATAGGGCCCTATTACTACTCAAGATGTCCTGCATAGTGATAGTCAATCATGATGATAGTCACCGATGTTGAGGGTCACTGACAGTCCTTGGGGAGGACAAATGGAGATTGTGATGGTGTTTTTTAAGAGTCACTCAAAGGCCATTGGTGGCTGACAAGTACATTTTAATATAGGTAAGCAGATCAGCACATGAGAGATGGGAAAAGGTCTTTGTTTAAGTCTAGAATCATGGAAGAGTATGACGTACATGGGGGGATATGCTCAGAGGTTGTGGTTGAGTAGTAAAATCTTATAATCTGTTACATGAAAGGGAACGCCTCTTTTAAGGTTGCATATGCTGTAATAACGTACATGCATAATTTCAAAGAGAGTCAGGCAACATGTGGCTTATAGGTTGCCTGGCACAGTAACCTTTTTTTTTTTTTTGCGCTGCTTGCCAAAGATCCATTGCTGCCATATGCCAATGTTGAACCTTTAAAGCCTTATCTTTGCCTTTTAAAACACCCTTCTCCATTAAAACAAGTGGTACAGGATGTGTGCCCCTTGTTTGAGAGCCACTTAGTGTTCCAGGAAGAGTCCGAGAATCATCTGGAAGTGTTAATGACACTCAAACAAGGCATGTGTGTCCCGTATAGGTCATTTTAAAGTGGCAAGAGTGGAAGGCAAATGGTGACCCTTTTGCTGGGTTGGTTGAGGAGGGTAGAAGTCAATCTCATTTTCACAGTATTCAGAACTCTTAATTTAAATTCCAAGCTTGAAGTTTTACCTCAGACATTCAAAATGTGAACACTTTAGATTTATTAGCATCTCTCACCTGAGCACTTCAGCAAATATCAAACATAGGGCCTCATAAGCTAAAGACCAGAGATGGATATACCTATGGCCATCCAGATGCCATTGACTCACAACTCCCATCAGCCCTAGCCAGTGTAGTCATTTGTGAAGGATTGTGCTGGCTTAAGTCCAGAAATACCTGGAGGTCAACATTTGTCCCTTCCTTGAAATACTAGCCACTATTTTATGTCATCTGATAGTATCAAATACTGAGTGGAATTGTCTTGGTATTCATGTAAGGTTTGCGTAATCTGCTGCAGCAAACTGTGACTAATTGCCAAGATGCCAGGGTGTATGTCGATTGTATAACTGGGTGTGTGTTACACAGCCAAACACATGCCTGAGCATTTTGTCAATAATTCGCAATAGGTTATGCAAACTTCATGTGAACACCAGTAGGATTCTGGCTGATAAATTTATTGTCTGTCAGCCATCAGCTGCCTCAAAATGCTGATTACCGTTGTATGTTATTAAATATGGAATACTGCATATCCCATTGGATATTAAAGGCTGAAATTAAATATTATTTGATACTGAGTCCAGATATAAAATAATCAGTGTTTTGCACATGTGGGACGACTAAGCTCAGTGTGCAGAGCCAGAGGTTGGGAGTTCAATTTCCCCACTGTACCTTCTTAAAGGAGCTGGACTCGATCCATAAGGGTCCCTCTGCAGTTTAAAGGTTATTATTATTATTATGTATTTGATAATTGCACCAAAATTCACAGGCAAATTTCTACAAGATGTTTTGGGAGCAATGTGTTTCAGCTCTGGTGGAATACAGAGCAAACGATGATGCCAGAAGGAAAATTGCTTGCTTGCTTGTGTGATTGCATGATTTGTCTTCTGCTGTGCTTGGGATGAGACAGGAACAGAAGCTGGTGAACAAATTCCCTCTCTTGTTTACTCATTGCTTTAGTTACAATACTGCTGCCCGAAACACTTTTTGAGTGGTTGGTACTGCACGTTGTATTTAAATTTCTGGTGGGGCGATAGACAAACTGCTCCCCTTCAGAATGCTGGGAAAGTTTATGTCATTAGTGGAAATCCTATATTAGTATAAACTGAATCATAACTTTTGGCCCATTCTTCCCTGGTAAACAGTCCCTGTTGCAGTTCTTGGAGACAGGGGTGGTTTGGTTACAAGGGAGGAATGGACTCAAAGTTACAATTTGGCTTACTCTAATAGGATTTCAACCATTGATAGGCATGGAGCATAGTGTGGACATGTTCCTTGATGGTGCCAGATAACCACATGACAAACCTCTCTGCATATTGAGTCCACATTATGAAGCAATGGCTATGCAGAAGCAGTGGCATCAGGTGTTCATTTTGTAGGTAAGCATAATCTGTAAATTGGGCTGACAGGTTTAAAGATGCTGGAGTGTCAGAGTATTGCTTTGCTTCTCCTGCTGTCCAGGTAAGGAAGGACAAATTTGAGGATCAGTAGAGCTGGAGGGGGAGTTATGCTTGTGTATGGAATGCCTTTAAAGCTTAGGTGCTCATCTCCTGTTTGTTAGCTGGTGCCAGGGCTTACTGTTTCAGTGTGAAGGTCTCTAAATTTGTGCTGCTACAATTGGTATGATTGCCCCAAAATGTTTGTTTCTGCTGGCTTTTTCCCCAGACCCGTACTCTTGGATTTTGACACTTTGACATTGGGCCAAGGCAAGGATGGAGCATCAGTGTTGTTACTCATGAACCTTCTTGTTGTGGAAGTCCTTACAGCCTTGGCACTCAGCTTGAGAAAAAAAAACTTTTCTCAATCCTTATTTGCCCTGATTCTGTGACATCACAAGGAGCACCTCCTGCCCTGGTTTCTGGTTTAGCCCTAAAATTTAAGGGACTGAAATAGACATGGTCTGGCAACTTTATGTATAGTTTGGATTTTGGGTGGGTG